CTTCCCCTGTGTGCTGCAAATCAGTTTTATTTATACATCTTCGACTGTTTTTCCACCTTGTTCTCCTGGTTCACTGATAAATTATTATTGTAGACAATATGTCTGTGTATTCTCCTTGCGGCAGTGTGAACTGTAGCGAGTTTAGTGGTTAGGTGACTATATCAAACTCTTTGCTGTTATATTCTGTTTGTGGCAGTTGAATAAAGTGTGGTACATCATAGTGAATTATAAGTCATTGTCTCTCAGTGCTGTAAACGATATGTCACCTGTTTCTTGTTTTACTGTTGTAGTCATACTTAGTTTTAATGTTATGTTATTGCTACCCTATCACTTTTGATCTCGTGTGTAGCATGTGAATATATACCAGACTGATAGCAGAAAAGAATATATGGTACAGAACAAAATGATAATTCACCCTATCCATTGATTTAATTGCTCACGATATAAACAAGAGGTTCGACATTATTTCTTCTCACTTTTCTATTGCTGTACGCAATTATTTTTCTTTGATTCGTTGACCTATCCTTAACTCACTCTATTGTATTTTTAGTTCTTCACTCTCGATTAGATAAGAAAGATTGCGGATGATATTTGCATGCACCTGTGTATAGGGTACATTTATGTGAGTGCGTGCCTTCTCTTCATTTAATCTTTCTATTCAATTTTTTCTTATAATCAATAGTCTCATGCTAAATGGTTAACAGATCGTGTGTTCAGCACATCTTATGTTGGCAATGTATCTGCGTAAAAAATAAGGTATTAGATTTTACCTACTTGGTCATTAAAATGGCTTGCAAAGCAAAAATATCAGTACTCATGAGAAATGTAACCATTGCACGGATAAAGATCAATGTTTCTAAAGCTTAAGCTGTTTGTGTCTGTGGCAGAAAATCTGCATAAATCGAAAACTGTGCATATATAGATAATATTTTTGTTATCCATCCGGTATTTAACAGCAACATATCTAGCTCCCTCTACATACCTAGAGGAAATGTCGTCATACTTTTCCTTTTCGGAACAAAATTTTCTTGCTGATGGATTCAAAAATGTTCTTGACCGTAGGAACTTCATGTCCGCCATTGAAGGTAGAGAGCTAAACAGATTTGTCTTAATTAGTCCAGTCTTCAGGACTCATTTATGTATTTTTAACTTCTGATGACTAAGTGCACGCAATAATTTTATTAACAACCTTTTTTCATCACATGCCATTCTCCATCAGATGTGGGCTTTTGACACGCCGAAAATATTCAAAACATCTCCATTTCTAGCTTCTCAATTTAACTGTTTTGCAGTCACACGTATATTTAAATGGATAAGTAAAGATAAGATAAAAGAGTTGCTTGCCGATTTATCATTGAACTTGGTGCAATAATCTCATGTCTCATTTGATGTAACCTCTATATTTAAAAAGATCCTGATTCATGAAGCACGAAATTATTTGTCGATATTTTGATGTTTTTTTCAGTGCTCGTGTGAGAATCCGAACGTCCATCACTAATTTACCCCGACTACTCTTAGTTCCAACTTGGAATCACTTTCTGCACTGAAACTTACAGAGAAATGGAGAGCTTACTTTTCTCCACGTTACGAGTTTTTCGTCATAGATAACCTTGGGAATAGAAAGTATACAGTTAAAGTATGGCATATTCATTGTATGTGAAAACATGATTTGTGCATTCCTGCCACTAGAATTCATTGATGTACATGGAAATGATAAGTTGCTTTGGAGATGAGTCCCAGAAAGTTTTTTATTAGATGTATCACGCAAAGAAATGGTATTATTTACTGGATAACGTTTCGAATACAACTTATTGTTCATAATCATATCAATTGTAACTACACAACTTCGAAACTTTTGTTTTATAGTTGTCTTAATTCCCTCCTATTCCTCGTGGGGGTAGTAGAATTTTTCAGGTGTCCGGAACAGGTGTTGAGTCATTCCTATCACATGTATTTGCAGTTGATTCAATAAAAAAAGTTTCTGTAATGATTCTCTCCTTCCACCATGCTATACTAGATTTTAAGACTGTCATCTTATCCGCATCCTATTGTATGGTTGTGCGTATTGCATGTAGTGCTGTCTACGGCTGAACTATTCTTCAGATTTCTTATCTTATTAGGGTCAACTAATCTAGATTTTGCTAGGTTTTTGTGCTTTGCTAGTCAGGGTAATGGGTAAACTAAATTGTTTTGTTTAATTGGTTCCAGAGGGTCCTTTAACCGACAAAGTTTGTTTCTTAAAGTGATAACTATGTAGAGCGACGCAAGTCCTCTCAAACTCACTGTCATCAAAGCTGATGTGTACAAGATAAGAATTATCTGATGTTTAAACTTCTCTCTGTCTTTGAATATGTAATCTTTTAAGACGGACATCCATTTGAGTTTCATAAAAGTTGTATTTCTTGCTCACTAAATTATTGCAAAATTTGGGTTTAAAGTAGGGTCACCTTTTGTATCTGTTATTTTTCTCTCATAATGTCCTATTTCAAACACCTGTTCATTGTACTTCTGGCGAATAAGAACTATACCTAGGTGGAGGTATTTTCTGTGGTGAATTTGTTGATAACAGAGTTATCACTGACTCATGCTGGTTGTCGTCTTCAGTACAGCTTCAGAGGTAAGGTGTTTAACACATGACACTGCACTTTCGTGTTTTTTAGTTACTGGAAATGTGTAAAACATATTTACTACTTTTTGTAAATAAGGTGATAGAAACTTCGTTATTTTAATGTAGTTTAAATTTTTCCACCAAGGTCTGTTTTGCTCATTACTTCCATTAGTAACCAAATATTAGATGCATTTCACACCTACTTGGTTATAGTTTCGACGTGTTTCATAGATTAAAAAGTTGGTCAAAGGGAAGCCCACTGTGAAATTGTGCTACACTGACAATAGCCTGAGAGCATAGTGAAGTTTGCTTTGTTTCATGTTGTTTATCAGTTTTTTGGATGAAACTTATAATTTACATGAAACCATGGTTCAGCAGGTATTTAATACACCACATAACTACCTATGTCTTGTATATTCTTATCGTTATTTAATCTTCCTTTTTTTAAACTTTTCACTTGAGTTTCAAAGCCTTAGTTATCACCAAAGACTATTTATCTCTTCTCATATCTTCATTAGTGAATTGAGAAATTTTAGACAGCTGATGGCACCGCCCACATGTCCATTACTTTTCAGTATCATTTCTGAAAATGTGATGAGTGTTGAGAATTTGCAAGGTTTTCATACCTTATCTAATCTTCATGACTGACTGACTGGTTTCAGTGTAGAACTTTGCACCGATATGCAGCAGTCCGAGCTACCACACTCCATATAGCACACAAAGCAAGATAAGAGAGTAATGAGAGACAAACAAGTTTGGGTGAAAATAATAGTAATATGAAAGAACAACAGAATTTTATTGAATATTATAAATCATAAAGAGTGAATGCATCTGCACCACTGGGGACGATTTTGAGCCATATCACCGATTGTCTCAATCCATTGGTTTCTACCGTCCCGAAGACCACAATCAGGAAGTCTGCACCTTCCTACCCTGCTTAAATTAACTTCTGTGGATTTCATTGACTGATGAGACCATATTTGGTTTGACCACCATTGGCTCTTTTCCAGCCTGATCCATCATGTGTCAGCTAACATTGCCCGCTGGTCAAGGAAGGCGATGGCTAGGCATGCGTAACATCTCAGTCGATGCAATTTCACGGCCTCGTCGATTGATTTGCCTTCCTTACCTGGAACTCGACGCCTAACCTCAATACTGATCACCTTATTATCCCACTTCACACGGGAGATAGAGCGCAGGCACCTATGATCAAAGACAGCTAATCTTTTCATGTCTTCCACTTTCAATTGCCAGGCTTCGCAGCCATAAAGGAGGACGGAGCGGACTGATGAGCAGTACACACGCCCTTTGGCCGGATATCACGTCTACACCAGAGACAGACAGGTAGTTAGATAAATTGTTTGGTTAGTTAACTATTTTATTGGTTAACTTTTGAGTTTTACTAGTAATTAAGCAATTTAAGAAATATGTCGGATGGTAGCCACGATTGCTAACCTTGGTCAATTCTGGTGACGTTAGATCAGCTGTCAAATGTTAGGCCTACAGTCCTTCGTTGTGCCCAGTCTTGCTAAGCGCCCGTAAAATCTGGCTACTCTCAGGTGGGGATGTGCGTGTTCAGTCGTCGCAACCTCCATGGTGTTGCTTATATCAGTAAGCGTCATCATGCAAGTAATTCTGAGGTCGTCTTGATTGTTTAGACAAAGTAGAGGTCGCATTTCAGTTAGTGGTGTCATATTTTCACACTGGGTGCCAAGTTTGTGTTCAGATAATAATAGTGTTAAATCATGAATCGACCCTGGCTAGAAAATCATTGGAAGTCGAAAACAGCTAGCGGTTCCGTTCTACTGAGATACCCTCCAGCGGCTCAACCCTTTGTGAAATCTAGTCTGGGAGCTCCAAATTAAGACGATATAGCTGTCCAGAGCTTTTTTTTTTCAGTGTTCGTTTAATTAATGCCTATTAGCTGTGCTAAGTCGAAATAAAAAAGAGCCTTCACAGAAAAACAACCCGTTCCGTTCCAAGTGTTTTCTTTTCATCTGTTCTGCATTGCAAATTATATATCTTTGTATCATTCTGTATTTCATTTACATAATGTTTCCATATCCCTATAAGTTTAATGAACCCAACTTATTGTTACTATTTGTTTTTATTAGTTAGGCGTTCCTCACTTATTAACAACTTATGACAACAAAAATATTCTTGTATCTCATAGGCATTCTTCTATCATTGTATATTTTAGTATGCTTCGTAATCGGTTTACGTCATCAGTAACTTGAAGTTTTTAAATATAATCAGCGAAATAATATCGGCACAAAATATTTTTGATTGAACCAATAGGTATACTTTTTTAGATGTCTTCGAGGAAAAACGTAATCAAGTCCCAATATGGACTCTTGATTATCTGGTGTCATTCAATGCCGATCACAGTGCAGAATGATTCACTATAACATGTCCTTGTAGTGATAGCACCCATCAGCCTTTATTTTTTGTCAGTTAACACTGCAAAGGCTTAGGTAAGTCGATATTGCACCTTACTCCACCGGTTCAATTAGAACATTTGATGCCTGTAAGGTATACGCGTGTATGGGTGGTGTCTTTCACTTGAGTTTTCTTACAGCCCACCTCAGTAAATAAGTTGTAGGAACCTATGGAGCAGTCGATAATCACTAATTACATTTATTTGATATAATAAACACTTTTCTAGTAGTATGACAATGTACCACATGACTATCAAATGCCAGACTGAATTCAAAGCGGGTAATGCAATAATGAGACAAAAATTAGTTAACTAGTGTCATTCTTTAATTAGTAACGGTAAATTTATGAGAGAGAATTTCTCTCACTGGAGTGATTGATTTTTTTCCAAATAAGAAAAATTCATGAAGATCGATCTATATTTATGAAACAGTAAGTACAATAGCAGCAGTAAATCCTGCAAATACCAGCTTTCACATATTGACGTGTTTAAGTTTCGGTAATCTGGAACGTTGAACATCAGCAGATGTATTATTTAAATCTGCAAATGATGTTCTTTGTTTGTCACTTGACACAACACGAAAATGATGCATATCGTTACCCTGATCAGTTGGTGGAGTACGATTTAAAGATTCAGAATGATGAATATACACCACAGGTGGTGATGGTAACAAACTGCCAGAGCTAGAGAGACTATGACGTTTTATTTGAGAACTTCCGAATGCTAGCATGTTAGGTGATGTCTCTGAAAAAGTTGACTGCTTTCGATCATAGATGTCTGCGATCTCTGTCTCACGTTAGGTGGTTTAATAAGGTAAGTAATGTTGACGTTAGGCTTAGAGTGTTGGGCAAAGAGGGAAAATCAATCGACGAGGCTATAAAGTTACATAGACTAAGATGGCTAGGTCGCGTGCTGCGCATGCCTAACCATCGCCTCCCCCGAAGGGCATTACTAGCTGATATAGGTGCAGGTTGGAAAAGAGTAAGTAGTGGCCAAACAAAAACATGGCCTCATCAATCCATGAAATCCTTGACAGCTAAACTGAGTCAGGTAGGGAGATGCAGGCTCCCGGGTTGGGGCCCTCGGGACTCTAGGAGTCAATGGCTGGAGACAATAGGTGACATGGCTCAAAATCGTTGTCAGTGGCCAGCGCAGATGTATTCAGTCTCTGTAATCTTTCATATTTCTTTCTACCATTACCCATTCTGTTTCACTCTTATACTTGTCAAACTCTATTGATTCTCTTCACTCATCTTCTTGTCTACCTTTGTGTGCTATTTGGAACGTGGCAACTCGAACTGCTACACTTCGATTCCAAGTTCTATGTTGAATCCTGACAGACAGGTGATGTCTCAAAAGATATTGACGAACGCGATAATGTAGGTATCTTGGTCACATGTACGTAACTGCAAGGTTGTTGTTCCTCAGTGTCCTCATCATGCGAAATTTCCTTTGAAATATTAGCAACACCACCTGATGAATGAATACGATTTCCGACTTCGTCATTAGTATTTTGTATTTCAGTTGTTGATTTTATTTCAACAGATATACAATTTTCTATTTCACTGTCAACAAAGTATTCTTGTGATACCAGCTGGTCAGATAGAATATCAGCTCTACTGTCATCTTTCGGTAATGTGTCAGTTTGTTCGTTTTCAGTCATATCGCTCAATGAGGAAAAGATTGTTTCAGATGAAGCAGAGTTAGTTGTTATATGAATTCCATTATCATTCGATTCAGCAAACATTATAGAGGCAGTTCGTATAGCGTCTAAAATGTTATTCCATCTTGTGATAAAACTCTTCAACTCGTATTTCTGATCAGTTACTTCCACTTTGACGGAATTCACACAATCCGTAAACCTCTTATTATTATGCAAGTATACTCACTGACACTTTCATTAAATTTCCAACGCGTGAAAGTTTCTCAGTCGCTCTAATGACTTCTTTGCTTAAATAGTTTAGTTCTGCAAAGTAACTTTCAAAAAGAAGACTAAAAAAATAAAAGGTCGATGCAGAAAATAGTAGACCTGCTCCTGACTGAATAACACTCTTGGTAAGCTCATCCCGATTCAACATATAAGTGTTTATATCAAGTAGACGATCACCATTATTATCATCATTATACGAAGTGATGTAGCTGTCTGCATTTAATTCATGACTATCAATCTCAGTAGATAGATTTCTTTCGAGAACTTGAAGATTTTCGTTGCTTTCCGATAAGTTCTCATAATCCAGAAAAATTAATCCAGGTTTATTACGAAGACGCATAAAATCCACAGTCAATATCTTGGCCTATGCATTTAAGTCCGCAGTGTAGAAGTTCTCACAGTTCACTTTCGTGAGCGAGTGCTTCGATGCTACGCACGGTTAAGCAACTCGTGAGGTGGATGACTGAGCCACATCCCTATGCACTACAAAGTTTGGCAGATTAACTTCATCATCACTGAAGTCGGGTGTGAGCCATGCCTCTGTGGTGATTGCATCCTAATTTCCACAATCTTTCATAATACCCAGCTCAGTCCGTTAGTTCAAAAGGCCGCCGGCATTTGTTTAGCAAACCGTTAACTCAGTTTGGTACTTCTGTGGCCCTACCCACAGAGCCTTCAAGATCACCAAACATCGAACTTTGACAACCCGAAAACCCTTAAGCTTAAGCTTTTCGCCATTTCGGCAACGTTCGCTTAATTCTAGAGCCGCAGACCGCCCTCTGACGGGGTCTGATAAGCATAAGTCGGCACGGAAGTATATGCCTGATCCTTTCTTTAAGAGTTTGAGAGTTGCTTAGAATGGCATCCCTCTCTTCTTTAGATTTAAGTCCGACCTTGGGGAGGCTAACCGGCTGATTTACTGTAGAGTCAGGCTTTTGGCCGATTCTGTGCAAGCTGCGTATGGTTATACCTGATACTGTTTTTGGTCGCATCTTATCTAAGAGGGCCTTGACCAGGTTACGGTCATGCTTGAACCTGACCCTGGGATCGGATGTCGGTGGTTCTCCCACTTCGTGGAGAATGGACGACCTGTCGGATAGGTTTGCTTGCCATGGCCTTCTTGCTCTGCGGTGTGTCTTTCCGTCCTCCGTGGATAGTGTGATTTTTATGGTGTCCTCATCTCGCTTTTTGCGAGACTACATCACACCATTCATTGACGCCTTCCTCGCTACCTACGGTCGATTGTATGTGCATGTAATCCACAGGTTTGGATTTGGTTTGATCCAAAATTCCCTAGGTGACCTAAGCTGCGAGTTTTCGACCTCTGTTATGCCTTCCCCTCCATCGCAGTCGTTCCGTATCTGGTACTGATAAGCTTATCAGATATCGTAGAGGCAGCGTGGGTGTCCGGAATATGGTGGGTGCTCTCTTGTACTAAAGAGTACTCAGCCTTTGACAGAAAAATAATTCCAGGTTTATGACGAAGACGCATGAAATCCACAGTCAGTAAACACGTATACCATACAACGATTACTAATAGACTACCCAACAAGAGATAAATACCAGGATCTGTTTCTGGAAAACCAAAGGAAATGATTTCGACCATTTCTATCAATATAGAATGAGATAAGTCCAAGTAATCCAAATTATACGCTTTCATAAAACTTGATACACAGAGTCTAGATAAAAAACTTCCAAAAATGTTTGCTTTCTAAAATAAACACTCATGTTCACGAAGACCATTGTCATTAATTAGCCACTGCATGGTTTCTAGTGAAGTTCAGTTATGAGCTTTAAGATATTGCAGAATATAAGATATTGTGCAATATTTAAATAATGCATCTGCTGATGCTCAACGTTCCAGATTACCGAAACTTAAACACGTCAATATGTGAAAGATGGTATTTGCAGGATTTACTGCAAGATACTGCTGTTATTGCACTTGCTGTTTGACAAAAGTTCATTTAGAAATTATACATGCATCTTAAGTTTGAATGCACGTTTACTTGGTTGTCTCTTTTGCACTTTTTCCATGATTTTTGACACCAGATTAAAAGACTCAACGCGCCGTTGTTTATGTTTAAAATACAGTTCATTGTGACAAAATCGTTCTTAGTGGCACAGATGCATCCCACTCCTTGTGACTTATAATTTCCTATGAAACTATATTGTTCTTCGTTATTACTATTCTTTTGTCTCATGCCCCTGTCTACTGTCTCTATTATGCATTTCTTCTCTTGCTTTGTGTATTAGATGTAGTGTGGCGACTTGAACTGCTGCACATCGGTGCAAAGTTCTATATCGAAAACAGATAGAAAGTAATTTAAGAGTCCAGAGTGGTGGAAAGTTGTCTACTTCTAAGGTGTTCATTATCGTGATTATCCTCGATTGATTAATTCTATTCCGATTTCTGCTTCAAGCGTCTTAAGCATTTTATGGACTTTTGGTTATGTACCTGTTTGTTTTTAGAGTTTCTATCTCATATTTTAATCATTACTACTATTATTATCATTATATTTTCTTAAAATCTGACATTCACAGCTTTTCTAAATTTTGAATGACAAACAAGAAACAGTGTGTTTGAGCATCAGCACTTTAAGCACCCAGTAACTTGCGATTAACCGCTATATTTACCTACCGATTATATCGATTGTGATGATAACGACGGCTATTGAATATCCTTATTTCACTTAACATCAGCCTTGTAGTTTTGCATAAAACCTTGAGAAAACAACTAATGCTTGTTTGTATTGCATACTTTAGAAGTTTACCGATAGTGTCTGAAATACTTCAAGTTAGTTCTCCCTACTTCTCGTCCCTGAACAGATGAACTTTCGATTTTAGGAGGGTAAACGTGTTGTTCAAATTTATCTCAAAAAGTATTATAAAGTTAGCTTCTTATGAGATAGTTTGCGTTGAAAAATTTGTATTTTCAATAATAACAATGGGAGCCATATTTTTTAACTTATACAGATATTTGGATTTTGCTTCTTTCCCGTACCCGTTGAATGAAGGAGAATATATTAAATATGAAATCTGACATTCAGTGTTATTTTGTTTAAGCTTTACTGATGAATCATTTGAGCCTATATAAATGTTTCGCACGTGTGTCCTGGACTTTATTTGTAAATTATGCATTCTAATCTAATCTTTTTTTATTCCATTTTAGACTTGTGGAATATTTTTTATGCTTTGCTGAATAAATTGAATGTGTGGCTAATCACTTTACGCATGAAATGAGTGTATTTGAACGACTTCAGCAGAGACTAGCTAGAGGTTCCACTACAGTACGACCTCAGGATACCGCACAAATTTGTCACAAAAATAGTTCAGCTAATTCAGATCAACTACCTCCTATGAATTATGTAATTAAGGTGGTTGAGGATCGTCCAACTCAGCAGACAACAGAAACAATGAATAATCTTCCTCCATCTTATAAGCATCCGCGAACTTGGGGTTCCCACTCTAGTCGTATATTACCTAATATATCTAATAGTTGCTCGATTCCATCTCTAACTACAAGTGACACCAGTATTTTCAAAGACAATATGACTCCGGATCTGGAAGTAGGGATTTCTAAATCTCAATTCAGTCGTAGTCAAGATTTTTTAAATGTTCCCAATACTAATAATGTTAGCTTAAATCAGCAACCTCGTACAAAACGTGCAAAAACTCCTTTGAGTTCCTTTTATCGTGTAAGCAGTGACGATGATGATGATGATGTTGACGAAGAAGAAGACGTCGATGATGATGCTGATGTTGGTAATAATAATATAGATAACCTCGACCAGTGTGATGAAACAAATATTAGGCGGTCTGCAGCATTTGAACGAAAATCACAGCGTATTCGGCGTAGTATTGATCGCGCAAAGGCAGCTTTACCTCCAGATTTTGCAGACCGTATTGAGATCTCAGATTCTGTTACTGATTTACCTAATCAAGAATTGTCCAGTGGGACACATTTTCGAAAACATCGTCGAAGTGTCAGTAATCTTGGAAATGATTTGAATGGTCCCTTGGATGCACATGATCCAAGTTCTGAAGAAAATATATCAGACCCTCGCAACAGTGAGAATGAACATTATGAAACTCAAGAAACTTCGAAGTCAACTGAAAATATTACTGAATTATCTGCAAAAGAAGAAAAACCTTGTGAAATTGATGATACATTCAATGTGAAGTCAACTGATAATTCTGAAATAACAAGTCCACATGAGTAAGTAACGACTGAACTATTATAATTACGTTATCACTGTCGATTTACAGTCGTTTGTTCATAAATCTCATCAAGTTAAAACCAGTCTGTACAATAATCCAAAAACTGGCGTATTTTCCTAAAATTTTCATCATAACAATTAACGTGCATCTAAATTCGGAAACAGAGTCCATTCACACGTCACAAGCAGTCAGCCTTGTCATAACCTGACTAAATGTACTAAACTAATTAATTGTGTATTGTTTCCAACTGCCTACCATTTCTAGAAAACTAGTATTTAGTCGCTATTACCGACATGCATTGTGGGACATGACTGGAAAACCAGATGCACAGAGCTATTAAATAGCATTAACCAGCGAAAGTCCTGAAACACCATTAATTTAAAATCATAACTTGGGTATTATAGTAAAGTTCAACTGTATATATTGCACACTTTTCCAAACGTCACTATGAAACGGTGAGTTTTTAAATAAGAATCCTTCACTTCAATGTACCAGTCAAATAGAAAAATAAACAACGATGATCACACACTTAAAGGGAGGTTACGATAGGGAAGGGGATGGAGTTTCTCCTGATTTCCATAGTCCATAATACATTGACGCACAAAGTACTCACCAGGTCATCAATATTCCTAATTTTAACACATTCATTTATTCATAATGTGTATTTGCATAGCTATTCAGAAATTGAACCGTGTTCAAAAAGACTGCAAATATAGAAATCCGATGTACGTAGTCGAAAAATTACATCGTACAAATGGATTTTTGGCAAAATACGTATACATTACTTCTGATATGAATAGTTATGAAGAGTAACTAGTTGCGTTAGGTGGCAGATTTAGTGAGACGTTTAGACGGTGCAAAAGAGCTACCGAGTAGACATTGGATAGAATGCGTTGGAAACTGGTGTGTTAATTAATTTATCTAACATTCCTGGAAATACTGCGAAGAACTTGTTTTAGTTTCCTGCGCATAATTCACAAGTCTTTTGAATTGTATGATCACTTGGTTTTGAGACAGTTTTCAGAGTAATTACGTGCTGCTATTTACTGATTTATTATTATTACTATTAGTATTTTCTTTGGGCTTTATGATGCTTTAGTCGCATAGAAAATACATCCTACTTCAAAAGTAATAATTATTTCCTGCCTTCTGGTTAGCTTTATTCTCTGTGGAAAATATTAATTTATCATATTTTATTTAGTTAAGTGGGCTACTTGCTCATTTGTCAGTGATAATTAGCTTATTCCGGTATTTTTCATGGTGAATTTTCTGTGTATTCAGTGCTTCATTTTACTTTCTCTTCCCTCGTCATTGTATAGCTGACATTAAAAGAGGTTTAATGTAACTGTCTCCCGAAAGTTTGATCCAGCAAAAAACAACTAATAGACAGAAAACATCCTCACACTATCGGGATAATACTTGACAAAGCTGACTTTGAATAGACATCAAACGTGCCGTTCGCAGCAGACAACTGATTGCACCATAATCTATTGTTTCTGCTCATACAATAAGGTTTAGCTTTTTCAGATGACTGTGGGGTAGTGCTATATTTGACAATCACTCGTTCTCTTATTCGTAAGCATGAATGCATTCCGCTTTGATTGAACTTGTCGAAAAATATTTTTAATACCTGTGGTATTAGTTTTGATAGTGAAACGAAAAATGTGATTCTACTGTTGCTTGCTAACATTTTAGTCGAAAGATTTAGATTTCTGCCGTGAAACGTTTAACACCATAGGAATTGTTGATGAAGAGCTACAGTGAATTTCCATACACTTCTTAATTTTTGCTCACATTTTATGTGTTGTCCCACGTATGTCCTGATGCTACTTAGTCAACTGTTTTACAGAAAATTTAAGCCTCACTAATCACAATACCTCAAACCAGTTCTTTCTTGGCCCGGACTCATTGGTATTTTAAAGCTCGATTCCCTTTCATGTAATTCATCAAACCGTTAACTAAAAGTTGATTAAAAAGTATTGGATAGTGTAACTCCTGTTTCCATGCATCAGTTGGTCTAAGTTTCTAAAATGTGATTGTTCTTGCTTTTCTTTTATAATCACATGAGTCTTAGTTAAAAGACGAGAATTAGATGGTATGGACGAAAGCTTTGTTTTACCTTCTGAAGGTTTATGATACAATGACATCTTTAATATCCCTGGAGATGGCATTATAATGAATAAAAGTAGGCTTGGCATCCATCTGATAAATGAATTGTCTTGTTTCGCGATGTTTTCCGACAACTATTTGAAGTTAACTTGTGTGCAAAACTTCCCATTTCTTCATGTTTTAAACAGACTTATACTTCATTATCAAGGCAGCCAATGTTTCATTTAAAGCAATGAATGAAATGGAAAAACGTATCCCCTCACTTTGTCTTACACAGTCCGAGCTTGGTGATTAAGAAAAAATGTCTGAATGTTCTGAACTAACTATTCTTAATAGTAACTTCATTAGCATAGCAGTACCTCTTCAGACAATCTTTTATATGTTTTCAATGTCTTGTGTATTCATGCTCCAAAATTTTTAATTTTTTCAAATTTGTGTGAGAGTAACTGTGCTGTATGCGTTGGAAAGTCTCATTTCTGGTTAATATGAAACCAACTCCTAACCCTATAGCGACTTTGTTACATTTATTCGTGATAAAATTAGTTGCTTTGGAAAAAGAGTAGCTTGAATTTAAATGCCTGAAAGACACTGATTGACTGACTAGTTTCAACACAAAACTTTTCACAGAAGTGTATCAGTTCTAGTTGCCATATTCCTTTAACACACAAATGAAGACAATAAGGGAAAAGAGATTCAAAATAACAATAGTAAGAAGAAAGTGAGGAAGAATAACATGGAAAAGCAACAGGGTTTAATGGTTATGAGAGGTCACAAGAAATGTATGTATCTACGCCGTTGAGAACGATTTTGAGCCATATCACCAATTGTCTCCAACCATTAGTTCTTAGAAGCCCTAGGACTCCAGTCAATCGGTCTACGCCTTTCCACATGGCTCAAACTAATTGTTGCAGATTTCATGGACTGAAGCCATTTTTTTGGTTTGACCACTATTAATTCTTTTCCAGCTTGGTCGTATGTTAGCTAACATTTCTTGTGAAGTGAGGATGATGACTAGGCATGTTTAAAATATGTCCTAGCCATCTCAATTGATGTAGCCTTATAACCTCATCGATTGACTTACCCCTCCTCACCTTAACTAACACTATGCCTAACCTCAATATAACTCATTCCGTTATACTGCTTAACACGGGAAATAGAACGCAAATATATGCGACCAAAGATATCTAGTCTTTCATGTCTTCCACTTTCAATGGCCATATCTCATAGCCATAAAGGAAAACGGAGCGAACGGCTGCTCAGTACAAACGTCCTTTGATCAATAGTCGGATATCACGTCTACGCTAGAGACGGTGTAAGTTGGCGAATGCCACTCTTGTATTCGTTCTGAGATTTCGCCAGCATTATGTCCATTGGAGCTGATGCGACTCCCAAAATAAGTGAAGTAGTCGACACTCTTGACCACTTCACTCCCTCTCTTCAAGTTAGGAGTCGATGTATTCCTAGTCCCAGTCCTGTAGCATTTTATTTTTGACAGGAGCGAATTGCATGCCAAACATTCTAAAGCTGCTGTCAGTGGTTTTCAGAAGACTGCATTTTATCAGCGTCTTCAACTTAAAGGAATACATCACCCGCGTATTTTAAGTCACTAAAACTATTCTCTAGTAGCAAGTTAGTCCCTAAGTCTCTGAAGTCAGTAAGGGTCAATTCCATTCGTACATCTATGCTGAAATTAAACAAATGGGGACAGTAGGTATCGCTAATGGATACCACTGGTTGTCATTATTTCATATGACAACTCTCAAGTAGCTCTTACACAGCCGCATGTATTCGAGTATAATGTCTTGATTAGTGCGATGCGCTTTCTCAACAATACATGCAAAGCCAGGATGGTCTCTCCAAAATGCAGAATACTCATGGTCGATGATTATCAACAAGCGAAAATCTAAATCCAGGCATTTCTATCGATCGACTTCTAGTGAATCGTTCCAGCTTCTCGGAATATACAGATTGACTTCCCTGAATTTCCTAATATTATCAGGAGCTCCATCTTTGTATCAGTAAAAGAATATTTCTTGTATAAATGTACCAAAGTTGAACTTGCTTGATTGAATATTGAAACGTTTCACAATTGCTTCTGTTAAAGATAAGTGTGGTGAATGCTTGTGTTCAGGTTTCAGTATACAACCTCATTACATCCTTTTATTCGAACAGGGATATTTCCGTGATGATTATATGTTTGTCCTTCTTAATTCGTGAATAAATGGGTATATTTGGTCAGTTGAATTGTTTCACTACTAAGGTAAACTATTGTCTCTTTCAACATAAGATCTGTTTTTCACTGTCAATAATGATTTTACTGGAAAATGTTTTAAGGCTTTCATGGCTTTATTAACTGGCAGACGTACGCTGAAACAAATGACCTTTGAGTACATCCTAACTTTTTGCACTTTATGCGTTAAATTCATGTATTATCTAGCAAACTCTTGTTTGCTTTAAAAATGGATCTTAAGTGGCACAATTTCAATTCTCTAATTTTAAGCCCTTGCCACTATATGTTAGCGTGGGTTCACAGTAGTTGGAGAGCATTAGTCATTGAATTACGGCTCACTACTAGCTGAATAGTAACATTGCTCATCGCAAAACTTTCTAAGAATTTTATGTAGGCTTTAAATAATTATCCAACTGATTCCTATTTATGATAAGTCACTCTTTGAAATGCATATTCTTTTCCTGGTTGTCGTTGACATAAATACAATGCAAAATGGACATAAAAAATGTTAGACAATTTTCAGGTGAAGGTACTAGAAAATTCGACAAGTTTATTTTAATGAAATCAGTTGCTTCCAAAACATAAGCATTAACTATTGTTTATCAAAAATTCAGAAGTGGGTTTCAATAAGTGTAAGCGTAATACTGATTTTAAGTTTC